ATCATTCAACCTGGACATTTGCAAATTTTAGCTCCTTTTGCCCTTTGGCAAAGAAAATTAAGTCCAGAAAAACTATTCTTGCCTGATTAGCTCAGAAAACACTTATTAGTCATGGCGAGATGAAAGGAAAGCCCATTTTTAGAAATACTGCCACGCTTGGTGCCAGCCAATAATGAACTGCTATTGGATGCATTTCCACCATAAAAAGCAAATGATGTTGTATAGCAGCAATTGAGCGATATACTCCCTGTACAATGGGGCCCTTCCAATGTGGCTCTTCATAAGAGCAGGGCTCCATTTTACTGGATTCAATCCAATGGAACAACGAACTCACACGTCGCATTGACGACCACCGGTCGACCATTGATTTGGATCACTCTGGCCCTGAAGAAGACAAAAACGTCAAAACGTTAGCCGGATGAGGTTTCATACCAACTTCGTCTGTGTTTAATCAACCAAAGAGACTATGGTTGTTAGAGACGATTGAAATTCTTATCAAGTCAGAACCCACTTGGTCGTGATACACGTCAAGGATAGTACCAGATCAAATTTGTCTATCCAGTCTGTATTCGCATGCCCAGCGTCTATTTGAATAGAAGACAACTCGTAAAACGTTTGACTGTTTTCCTTTCTGAATCCCGATGCACAATTTGGAGTAGATATTACACGTTACACGCAAGAAACACCCAACGTTTCATTCGATAGGCGCCCTATAGGATTCACATGAGCTGTGGAAATACCGATTAGGTAAGAGTTTCAATAAAAGCGGTGGATATTCTTCGAATACGTCATCCATTATGCGTCTATGACGGCTAGAAGCCCCTACAAGAGAATGCCAAGAACGCGGCCAGACAACGATCATTCTGTGGTCGACGTGAGAACCCTGTTGCCTCCATTCCTTTCATTGTACTATAGCGATCCACTGCGCAAACGCATGGCAGCGTCTCGTCACGAACAGCGAAATCTGCAAACATTTCGTTTCCAGCGTCCTTCAAAAGAGTGCATAAGGCTGGTTGTGTAAAAGAAATCCCAAAATACTGGTTTTCTGGAAGTTAACGTTGGCTTAGCTTTCTTAAATATCTATGCTTCACGTTAAATGAAATACAGTCATTTGAGCAAACAAAATTTCGACAGTGGTTCTGCTGGATGGATTAATCCAAGCTATACCACGGTCTTAGAAATCCGCCGAGAATATCACCTGCTCGTAGCCCTAATCTCCGTCGACTACGAAAAAGCGTTTGAACGCATCGAAATGATTGCAATCTTATCAGCGCCGTCGACGAAGGAATAGACCTGCCCTACACAAGAACTCTAGGTGACTCTTATCGGTAGTGAACCACTTTTCATCAACTCGCTATTATAACCATGAAAAGGTGTTCGACAACGTGACACCATATCGCCAAAGCAGTTTGCCACGGCATTACAATAAATAATAAAGTCATTTGATAGGAAAGAGAATAGCATATGTATCGATGAAAAATCCCTATCAAATTTTCGTTTCACTCGAACACCCTCAACTTTTCAAGCGGTACCAACGAAGCAAAGACGATGCTAAATGAGCTCAACGAAGCAGAAAAAGTGATTGGACTGTGCATGAGTTGGAAAACCATTCAGTTCATGAAACAATATAGGTACCAAGAAGAATAGTTTGAAATGTATAATTCTCGGATTACAAAGACCACCACATAGGTGTCTCTCAGACATTCTATAAACTTGGAAAACAATATAAAATGGAATAAGATAGAAGAAACAGAACAACGTCGGCCGCACTCATGTCTTTCAATGAAATCACCTACTAACTAACAGACCTAGAAATCTACTCTCTCTTATTCGACTCAACGGTCCTTCCAGCGCTCTCCTGTGTAGCAGAGACGTGGATTGGTACTGCAACTACACAAAGAATACTGCACACTACTCACAACGCACCTAAACGATGTCTTCCGAAATTTAACCGTCACTTACAAGGTCTGGTCGGAATGCGCAGCTCAGATCATCGGAGCCTATCCCATCTTCCTTATCCAGTAGAATGTATATCGATAGCGAAATGTACAAATCGGTTAGTTGTATAATAAAAATAACATGCTACAGACAGGCGAAAAGAGCGATCACCCAAACGATGGGCGGACATGTTCACAGGTAACATTTATCACATCCATTGGCGAAATGGAAAAGATTTCTCGGAATGCACCACCACCGTGGACGAAGATTGCTCGAAAAAGAAATAAGTGGAGAAATGTGGTAAAATCTACACTACTAATGAAAACACCTCAGCCGGAATGAATCAAATACGTTTAAATGACATTTCGTAACTTTGTACTGATATTTCACGCCATTTCAAAGCACAGCTTTACAGCTTTCGCTTTACATTGGCATGCCTTACCAATCGTTTACGCGATAGAAACGATGTTGAAACGAACAAAAATCATTGCATTATAGCCCATACGGCTGATATAAAGTATTGCAAGATAGTTGTAGAAGTTCTCCAGATCCATAAAAGAACAACACCATAGCCGCAAAAGTTGGGAGGAGCATCCAGAGCGCAAATCAGTGTTTTGGGAGCAAAGGCTGGTTTACAAATAATTGCAGGTTATGTCAAAAATGTTACAGGCACATTTGTTATAAACACTGGTGGCAGTGCCGCAATCGATCATTTTGAAACATACTTCGTTCTTAACACTTTTTCTCATAGTACTCCTGATTCACCTCCTTCCAACTCTTCATCTGCAATGATTTTGGGTCGGTCGAAATGATGCTCTCGAATCACAAAAATTGCATTTGGTCATAAAGCAATGGTAGCAACTTTAAACGTCATCATCTCATAGTACGGAAAACGAGGAAATACGCTGTACCTAATACACAAATGATTTGTGCTCGAGACATGTCTTCATGACAGTGCGGGTAGTGCGTGCCTTCTAGTAGTTGATGACGGCCATATTAATAAGGGATAAAGGATAAAGCTCTTGGCGTTGAACAATTCCTGAAGGATGCGCCATGCATTAGACCTCATCAAACATCGTTTAGAGGTGATTGGCACATCTGGCCTTTATAATGAATGACTGGCGGTGGCCCACCGATGTATCGATTCAGTGCTGTCCTCCCATACAAGCGTGCCGACCTCGGAGGGATGGAGGGCTTGGTGGGCCACGGTCACGGGGATCGATTCCACGTGTGTATTTCAGGGCGCCTCCGACCACTGAGCCACACGCACTTCTGATGACCACCATATAAAACCGATAATCGAAGCCATGCTTCCACAAACCGCTAGAGAAGCTGCAGAAAATAAGAAGTTGGCATTCATGAAGCAATAATCATTCCACAAATCGATGATAGTAGAAAGGTAAAAAGATTGGATTAGGAGGTTGGAATTATTGGTTTCCAGACACTTTTCAATACCAGCTTTACGTTAAAAGATTGTTACCATAGATTTTTATTTTCGACAGATGGAACAATCTCTCTTGAATCCTGGCCAAACTACCAAAGGAGATAGATAGGAAATGGGCAAGGTGCGAGAATAACTTTAACGTTGTAGACGACATGAGCAAAGGAATTTTACTGCACAACAGCGTCTGAACACAAATCTTACAACTAACGCTACTGAAGCTGAACAAACTGTGCTCTGAATCCTCGCCTTACTCATAACAAACTATTGATCCTTCGCTTTAAAAATGACACATTTCTACGCATCTTATCAGCTGCTAGCTGAGAAGAATTCCGACAAGCTGGCCGCCGTTGAAAATACCTTTGAAGGTACGTAAGCTGAACAACTTTAAAAACCTTTGAAGAGCTCGTATCGTTCAGAAATTAGGATTTTTACGACTGGTGAATGAGTATGAGTTATTAGCAAAAATGTGTACAATCCAGTGAATCCAATGCCAAATAATAAGTTTTTCGAGCAACGTTGAGTCGTTTCAGCGATGTTATTCAAAATTGGCCATTATCTTTGTTAAAACCTTCTCCCCACAAGCTAAAAGCCAAAGATTATTGGTAATAACTAATGTCACTGCATGAAATAAAAACAAAGCATTATCAATATCTTCTTGGATTCTTAAGCCAACACGAGGTTGATAAAGATATTAATTCAGCTGATCTTTCGAAGTCTTTGCCTTCATCAGCTCAGATGATCCTAATCGACATCTACGGTCGTTCGATGATTCAAGTTGATAATCTGTGAATGGGATTTTTGTGAAACACCGAGAGGCACTGCAACAACGGGTACATATAAGATCGTGCGACGACGGCAATCGAAGTGGTCACCAAGGATTCCATACACCATCGGCGAGACGTTAAAACACTTACCAAGGCCAGCAACCAGCAAACTCAAATTGACAACTGAGTTAATATTTTCAGGAATATCTAGGAAGCCGCGGCGATCCTATTCATGCCTTTTTGTGTGGGAGTGAGCATTCACTATCTTTATTGGAGCAAGTAGTTATATCGTCCAGAATGCCTGTTGCATCTTCGGAAGCAACTCAATTCTCGAGTGAAAGCACTTAGTTTATCAGCCGCTTTTTTTAAAACACTAGTGCAAATACTCCTTATAAATAACTTCTATTTTTCGCATTGTAAATAACTACCAGCTTTTTTACCAACAGTTGTACGCGCCAGTGCGACGCACACATGGAAAAGATCCTGCGCCTACGGCCCACCAAGCCTTTTATCCCTCCGGGATCGGCAAATTGGTACCAGACTTGTCTGGGAGGATAGCAGCACTGGCTGTATACATCGGTAGGCCACCGCGAGTCATTGTAAAGGCCAGATATGCATTCAATCACTTCCAAACCTTAATGAAGTCGAATGGACGACGCATTCCTCAGGGATTGATCAACGCCGAGACCTTTATCTTTTATCTGTTAAGTAACTACCAAAGAACTGTGTCACTGCTTCTTTATAGAATTCTTCAAGATATTCTTTCCATGAAAAGGTTGTAACGGTTTTCAAATAGCAAAACCAGAATAAAACACTTTATTCGTTCATTAGCCTTGTGTTGATGGCTTTGTTTACTAACAATACCTCATACTTTTGCAGAAGTCTTCCGGAGATGTTCCCCATTGCTTCTTATAGGTCTGGAACAGTTACCGTTAAAGCAATATCGTCGCAATCCAAGGAAAATAAAAGTAAAAACAATCCGTCACTGCAGTTATGAATTATTCTGAACATACTTGTAGGAAAAGCGGAAAATGGTCGTCTAGCGTCGCTCGACACGCTTTTCGCTGTAACTCGTCCGGAATTTGGTCACAACCTTGTGAAACCGTATCACCCATTTGGGCCTAAACAATTTTCTGCTGAAAAAACTTGTCTATCCATGCGAAAGCTGCGAAGATTTCGAGCAAATTGTCCATCAAACTGAAAATAAGCTTTCAACAAAGAAGGGAAAAGCTGATAAGGGAAATGAAAGCTCATTCATGAAGAAAATCATGTATTAAATAAGAACTTACCAAATTCTCTTGAATGAATCCCATTTTCATTTCATTATACTTCACTCTTTTCATCATTTGAATTTTGCTTGGTATGAAGCAATTTTTTCTTATTACATTCTTTTTTGTAGATCTTTTTCTAAACTCCTATCTGTGGTTCCAGATTACTGCTGATAAATTGAACGGTTTATAGTTTTACAACTACAGCGATGCTGAGATATTTGCAAAACTCCCAACGGCAGGTGTCCGCGGTGGGGATCGAACGAGCTTTTACCCTTACCGTGGGCTAACGCGTTCACCACCACATAATGCGAGGGGAGCCCAAATTGGCAATTGTTTATCTTTACTTCTTCAATGCCGATTATCTTTTGAGAAAAGAGTGAAAACCGCTTAGATTTTTTCCGACAAATCATCTCTCTCTGTTATTGAAAAAGACTTTAAATTGAGGATTAATGAATAGGTGTTGTACCGGAACGAAAAAAAAGTAGGAGAAAACTTGAACAGTACCATGAGACCAGGGTTTGACTGGACAATAGCATTAATTCTGGCCAGTCCTGTTTTGCACATTAGACATGTGATACCGACGTTAGCGCTTGCATTCAATATGGAGGAGGTAAGTGCAAGCAGCAGAACCACTCTGACAGGCGTCATCTGAAAGTACTACGAAAAGAGCAAGGCTGATTGAAGGTGCCGTTGCCACTTAAATGAAAAGGCGTAATCTTCAATTAATTAGAACAATCTTCGCCACGGTGTCAGAAACAGAACCAATATGCTTTTATTTCGAAGGGAGCGATTCAAAGTAGCGGTTTTTCTGGGCGTAGAAGAAAACGCAATGTACCCCTGGCTTGATTACAACAGTGGGGCATTCCAAACTGAGAACTATTTTGAGACTTTTACAAGGCTCTCGGATAAAAAAGCTCTCGGCGTTGATCAATCTCTGAGGGATGCGCCATGCATTCGACTTCGTTAAGTATCGATGGAGGTGACCGAATGCATATCTGGCTTTTACTCGCAGTGGCCCACCGATCTATCGAGCCAGTACCGCTGTCCTCCCAGAGAAGTTTGGTACCAATTTGCAGACCCCGGAGGTGGATGGCTTGATGGGCCACGAGCGCAAAGGTCGATTCCACGTGTGTGTCGCAGTGGCGCCTCCAACCACTGATCCACACGCGCTCCTCAGATAAGAGTGAATCAATGTCAGAATTCTTCACCGTTTTTGACGAAAGACTTAGTTTAGTTGAAAACTAAAAGAACTCCCTAAAATTCATAATGGTCATCGAATGAGTGAGGCCAGAAAACTAGAGAACCTCATTGCGCGGTCTTCCCTCGAGTTCAGAAAGAAAATCTTTTCAATCGGTTGAATACTAGTGAACTGAAAACTATTGGAATTCGAGCAGCCTTTTATGAAAATGCTCGTTCATCTACTTTGATGTAACAACTTAAAACACAAGGCACAAAGCTCAAATCTGCGCGGCTGCCGCATGGGAGGAAGCCTAAGTTCGTTTCGGTTACAGCCTCAGTGACATTTAGACAATAGATGGCAATCTGGGGGAATTCACCCTCTCGACAGGGTCTCCCAGGGTGAGGAGTCCGGAGAATCAGGCAGCCGCGCTAAGAGCAAGCCAATCAATACAAGGATCTATAACCGACCTGGTGTCAAAATAGTCGCATGGTGGGAAATCTCCCTCTTTTCCACGAAGGCGTCAACTGCCTGCGGAAGTGACGACCTGGAGCAGACTTTGGCCTGGCCGACCTCAGGACTCCAAGGACCCACAATGGGTAAACCAGCAAAACTCCGAAAAAGTGAAAATTATGCTGAAGCCCGCACAATCAGTGAAAACGGACTTTCCAAGTATCCAAGTAAGTAGGCTTAAGACGTAAACTTGGTATGTACGCCAATGTTTTCTATGTCTCAGTTTGATCTACCCTACAACCACATAGCAATCAGCATCTTCAGTTGTTCTGAGTAGTATGTTGTGTGTTCCAGTACTTTTTACACCTTCTCATTCTATACGATAACTATGATTTATTATAACGATATTAATGAAGTAACAGTTATTTACCGGCCAAATTACCGTTGAATGAAGTTGTTCGAAAAACGCTTTTGTAAATCATTAGGTGTCTAGCTAGCTATCTAGCTTCTCAGGCGCTACACCTAAAATAGCGACGTTTTGGAGAACCTAACAATTGAGTGCAAAAAGTGCTGTAAAAGAGCTCTGTGTAGCTAAAGAAACCACTGAAAAGGAAATGTATTGGATGCAATGCACTTCGCCCACTTTGTCGTACCACTCCATGCACCTGTTGTAATACACAGTTATCACTTCGATAAATGATTGGGATACTGTGTAGAAATAAATACAGTAGAAGTCAGAGTACAGATAAGACTGTATAAAACGTGTTACGTTTCGATTCACCAAAGTTTTTCTCCAAGCAATGAGAAAATATTGAGAAACATTTCGTTGTATTAGTCTGAACAAGGTGAAAAGAGAATTTTAAGGCAACGATGGAAATCATCCTCAACAAAAATCAGTTTTGCAAAGCATTAAAAGAGCGTCGTTCCAGTAAGAAACTTTTACCATTCTAGGAATTTGTGCCCTACTCATAAGATAACAATCGAACAGCTTGTAAGTGGTTATCACTAGAGTAGTAAGCTTAGCAAACCACTTCCTTCTCCCTTATTCCATTGATAAGCTAACATGAGGTTGGTAGCAAATGTTTATTCGGCTAACTATCAACGTCTTCGTCTTCATCAAAGTCGGTGATCTGAGCCGATAGTCCACAGCCTTTCGTCATCGGCTCTGGTGAAGACGAGGACGTCGGAACGCTAGCCGAATAAATATTTGGTAACAACTTCGCTTTAGCTTATCAATGAAATAAGCCACGTTGTTTACCATTCACACCACGGTTAAATGAATGTCGGTTCACAATAGTATTTCTCCTCTCTGTTCTCCAAACACGGGATTCTAATAGTTTTGGTGTATAGAGCAAAATCTATGTGGCATAATAGAAAGACAAAAAACCTTGCTCATTTAGCCATTTAGAATTAAACTGACTTCGCGTACGTAAAGTCTAGACGGCTACAGATGGCTAGTAATAATCGACTGATATTAAGGTAATTTCCACTACGGTAATTCTGATAGGAGATGGTGAGTAGAGCTGCTAGATGTGACCGAATTTAGAATGGAATATGCTCATGAAGGCATTGACAGGCAAGAACATTCGCTGTTTGATTCGCTATGACAACACTCGATACATTAGATAAGCATGGAATTCGACAGTTCTGATTGTCTAATCGATTTACTAACAGCTTTTGCAAAGCAGAACAAAATCACAAAAGTGAGTTAGAGTTACACACTCGCAAAACAATACTGTTACTTTCTACAGACATAAAGAATATTGATGACAAACTGTGGTGTTGGTACGACGCTGACATCCGAGAACCCAGCTTCTTTGATCAGCTTCAAGGCTCTTTCTTTGCCCCACATTGCTCCAAGGCCGAGAGCATCTTAAAATGTTATAAAAATTACAATGATGCCTCTTCATCATTTGGGAATATTTTCTGGACATGTCACATTTAACAAAAATCATCGCTTTGCCATACTTCCAATGCATTTTCAATGAAGTCTTAATATTTACTTTTTATTTACTACCTACTGCAATTTTCACGGCAGGGTATTATGCGAAACCAACCACAACTATGCTCAGATATTCGCAAAACTTTGACCCCGGGCCAGATCTAACCACGATTTCCCTTTCCAGGAGGCTCTTAATATTCGTTTAGAAAGACTTTGCAGTTGATTAAATGTTTAGAGAAGTAGAAATAATAAGTAAGTAGGAAGATGATTTCTTATATCAACTACCCGCTTGCTTCTCTTTGGGTGACACAAGTCTATGCTTTCTATTTGTCCCTATCACATATAAGAGTCTTCGAGGAAGTATTTCTTTTTAAAACCTCTATGAAAAACTCTGAATAATGAATCGGTGGCTCTTCGGTTCTGCAACTTTTTGACATCTTGTTCTATAGCAGGCGCTACGAGCTCATGCCTAGCGACTGTTATTAAAACGTATACGACTAGTCTACTCCAGTTTCATGATGTCTAGAATGGCTCTAAGAATTCAATAGCGTCTTCGTCTGCGTTCTTCTTAATGGTGCCCTATCAGGAGCTCTTTTCGAGTCGAAGAAATTAAGGTCATTTCACTGCTTTCAGAGATGTCTGCGAGTAGCTCCCTACAATATATAAGCAGCCAGTTTCTTAGAAGCGACCCATAGTCACAGCTCTTTTACTTTGCGGTATGGTTCCAGTTTTATTGTGTGCTTTTCGCCAAACTTGTACAAGGTATGTCTCAATCGACACAGCAGAAACGAAAATTCAATGTCCTAATCCACCCGCATTTCAGGACAGGCACAATATCGCCTTCAGTCTGCGGCCAAACCTCTGTCCACCACCTAGGAACGTGCTAGCCTTGGACGAATCAGTTGACCACGCACTATGTGAAGGAGATCTAGATAAAGAGTAAGAAAAATTGTGCGTAAATCAATAGTGACTTAGCGCGGATGCTTTAGACTCACTGAATTGTCTGATTTAGAAGACTTAATTTTGCCTTTTTATCACAAAATTTCCCACTCCTGTTCAAAACAACGCTAATGTTTCAAAGCGAAAAGAAACTTCTGCTTCCCAAGTCTAAAAATACATTCAGATCATTTTCACGAAGCGTTAGCACCCACCTGGAGAGTTGCTTCCAACTGGAAGACAGTGGAACATTGAGCAGCTATACATCTGCGCGGCCAAAGGACCAATTTCATTTCGATCAGTAAAGACGTTTGACGAGCCGTTCACCTAAAACGTAACCAAGCATTTCTAAGCTTGGGAATTCTATGTCCACAACTAGTACACGCCACAGAAGTCTTCAAGTCGTGAGAACTCTGCAAAGATTAGGGTAACTCTATAGTAATTGAGATTGTTTCCAACATTGATCAAATCCAGTGTTAGAGTTAAAAGCAGTGCAGGGAACAAAAAGAGCATAAAATGTCACCTCCAACATGCCGAAAACTCCTCCTGGTTTCAAGACGCGGTAGGTCTCCTTCAAACACTGAAATGAATAAAGGTGAATAAATAGAATGGAAGCTGGAAGTTTCTTTATCACGATAAGATCCTAAACTATCATGTACCTTCCCACAGCCATTAGTAACATAATGAAGAATATTTCACCCAACCCAACAAAAAATAAACCTGTATTTTCGAGGTAGACCAATTACAAGGTCCATTTTTCTTTAGGTTAAGAGGGTTGTTCATATCCACTAACAATATTTTACTTGTTTGATTGCAAGATTATTAGTAAAAGCAATACAGCCCAGCTCGGTGATGTACCACTACTGGCCATACCGTACTTCCACGATCTATTACGATAACAAATCTTCTTCCTAACTGGTAAACCTATTGATACTCTGTTATTTAGAGATTATCCAAACTCATCCGATGCATCTCAAACGAAGAACGGATGCATTGGTGCCTCTTCATGAGATCATTTAACACCTCCAGGAAAGTCATGATTTATTTTTTACACATTAAAATTTCAGTTCCTTTTGCTTTGTGATAAAAGAGATAAACAAAGACTTAAAAAGCTGAAACTCTAACCAAGTCCGGTCTCATTTGGTCGTGGCACGCATCAAAGATAGTTACCAGATCAAATTTGTCTGTCCAGTCTGCATCCATGTGTCCAGCGTCCATTTGAATGTAAGCTAGGTTGTCAAAAGTTTGACCGTTCTCCTTCCTGAAAACTTCTTCACAATCGAAATAGATGCTACTTATAAGATACATCCCACGCTTCATTCTACAAGTGATTCACATGCACTGTGAAAATACCAATTTAGTAAGGGTTCCAATCAAAGGGGACAAATACTCTTCGACTGGATCATCCGTCATCCATCCATGAGGGCTAAAGGTCTCTGTAAGACAGCAATGGCAGGATACTCTCCATTCCGTTCATCGGACTGCTACGATCAACTGCACAACTTTCATCGCAGTGTTTCGCCACGATACTCGTGATGCAAAATCAACAGAAGAAAATGTTAACGCACCTTTGCTGATTGGCCAAATGCACAGCTTCAAGTGTGATATCGATCCCGGAAAAGTTTGATTTCGGATAATTCTCGGCTGAAATGAAAAATCAGTAGATGTTTCAATAGTGATAAAAATGCTACCAGCACTCGTTTTTGTTTTCAATAAAGAAATTATCATCTACGCTGCACAACACAACTACTCTTGCTTCAAGGTCCAGAAAATTCATACTAGAAGAGTTCATATTTAATTATTTATTTAGTCATTTAGGTAAATGACCCGTATTAACATATTGTGCAAAACAGCACGTCTTTCAACCATTTCATGGTCCTATCTTACCATCCATTATCCATGAAGACCTAGATATTTCTGCAAGCATTTGGTTTCTCAATGAGAATTTTGTCGTCTTCATGAATGTGATGCAACTCGGATCGATTTGATTCTACCTGGAATCTCGAGATAGCTCTGCTAAAACGCTCACAGGACTTCATCACAAGCATTCGCAGGTCAGACTTTTGAATCATGGACACGGTTTCCCAAACAAATTTGCCACTAATCTGATGACACCAGGAAAACTGGGACTTAGCTGGTTCAGTTTTGAATCGAACAAATGACACTGACTGCAGTACACGGAATGCCTAGCCACTGCTTTTCTTGCATCCCTCAAAAGTCAACAGTAGATTAGAAATGTTTGAAAAAAAACCCGGAAGTATTGCTGTCTGAAGGGAAAGGTCGATTTAATCTTGTCAAATGTTTACAGTTTATGTTTAAATAATTCGTACTACTCTTGTATTGATATAACGTGCCACTTTATAGTTCAGATTCCGTCCCATGCCACAATGCTAATATTCGTACCGAACCATTCGTATATCTAAGTGAGTACTGAATTTCAGTTATCCGAAAAACACGAAAATTTCCCTTTGGGAGTTAAGCTTCAAAAATTAAGGGTCAGCTAACGTACAGTACAAGCTGTTCTCAGAATTGTCATAATGGAGACGAACATGAGACGGATGACCACCACAGATATCAAACTAAAGAAGATCTATCGACGAAATTTTGAGAATTTACGAAGGAACTAGCTGAAGCCAAAACAACAATTTCGAAACCTTCACATTCACTATGGAAATCAAAAAACTGACCCAATAGACGCATGAACTGAATTAAAGCAAGAGAATTGTCGTCACGTCATTGTCACGAAATCATTGTCAAGAAGTCCACCCTCCCTGCTCTTCTGCTACACATAGAAAACCGTTCATTTCTCCACCTCATTGTGACATTTGATAAAAAATGGATCCTATACGACAGCAGATGAAGCGTAACAAGAGTGTTGGAATGAGATAAGGCTCCCCGATATTTTAAAAGACCGGATTTACGTTAAGGGATGGTTACACCAAATTTTTCTCCTCAACAGATGGAGAAACTCTCTTTAATCCTGACCAACTCACCAAGGCAGAAACATATTGTCAGGAAATGGACAAAATTCGAGAATAACTCTAACAACGGTGTCGACATATTAAAAAAAAATTTTGTTGCACAACAACGTCTAAACACACACCTCACAACTAATGCCACTGGAGTTAAGCAAACTGAACTATGGAACTCTTCCTTACTCAGTGGATTTTTCCCCAAAAAATGGCACTTTTTCACGCACCTCGTCAACGTTACCTTTAAAAAAAGTTCAACAACGAAGTCGCGGTTGAAAATACCTTTAAAGAGTTCTTCCTCTCTATAACTTAAAATTACTGAGCGTTTGTAATAAGAAACTTGTGCCTCGCTTTAAAAAAAAGGGTAGACTTCAATGGTTCCAATGCTGATGAGTAAACCTTATATGAGTCAAGTTCTGTCAACCCAGCGATTCCATTCACAATTGGTCATTGTCTTTATTAGAATCTAGCCACTACAAGGTAGCAAGTAATATTAATGTTAACGAATATTATTGTAAAATGATGTGAAAACGGAACAATCTCTGATAAAACTCGAAGAGCCTTTAAGATTTTAGGAACGTACCTAGAAGAGCAGCGTGAAATCCTTTGCCACAGCCGACATCCAGACACATCATTCCTCCCTCCTCAAGTCGTTGCTGCAAATTCTTGTCTTTTTAACTAATTGACAGCTTGGGTTAGATAATTTCTATTATCACTAAATGGTCGCAAAACAAAACACGTGCTTTAAATGTTAAAATCCCGTAAAAATAGCAAATTAATTGGAAACTGATTTAGTTGTAAGTACCTTCACGTCCGAGCCAAGAGCTGGGATAAAATCGCTTATGAGATGACTCTTATGCAAGGCTTCACTAAACGATGCCATCATGTCATAAAAGCCGGCGTAGTCAGAGTACTTCAAGCCTTAAGTAAACTTTGATGAGTAAAGTTTGCTTCAAATTCAAACTTCTATTTTAGCATTAAATTGCTGACACTACCAAGAGGTCCATCCTTTCTGAATACATCGCAAATGTTTTCGTACCCTCTTAACAGTACTGGAAGAAACGCATTGAACTGGATGCCAGCGCCACTGGTCAGATCCTGAAGAAAAGACGTCATAAGAAAGCATTTTTAGGTTCATGACAGAAAGGTGACATTCCCTCAATTTACTCTGGATTAATTAATGTATAGCACGCTTACAATAATAAAATCTCACGAGGGTTTCGATAGGACTCAAGCCTTTAGTTTCCATGTTTTCTAGAAATAATGTACCTGAACGACTTTCTCTAAGGAATTCAAAACGATACAGTTCTGGCTATGTAGACTTCTACCGTGTGGAACTAGTTTTGAAAAGAAATAGAAATGGCACTGTACATTGAACGTCATACCTCTCTCCAGACAAACAAGACACAGTAAGTATTCCCAACGGTAACAATCTCTGTAACATTTCATGGGACGAAAGCCGCAGTTGTCCCAATAACAGTGCGCTTTTAAGTCAATGTGCTAAGAAAGTATACCTACCTTGCCCAACGGGCTACGCAGCATCTTTGTTGGAAAAGTTATCATTTGAATAAAGTAGAAAGAACAAACTCAGTGCGTCTAAACAAACAAACGGAAAGAAAACGAATCATATATGATTCAAATCGCCCACAATGCCGCGGCGCCAATGGTTATATACAATAGTTCTTTAACGTGTCAAAAAATCACCGCGACATTCTCCTTCTTGATCCAGAATTTCTCGTCCTCGTTGACCTCAATAATATATCCTGTTGCCATTACACTCAGCCACTCCTTCACATATCTAAAAATCATTTTCATACACACGAATTTTCCACAATGAACCCTTTACACTTCACATCGTAGGGTTACCATACATAAGATTTCTGGGTTCACTGGATTTCTTGAATGTAAATACTTCAGAACGGAGATCATTCAGCTTTCAATAACATCACACCCACTTTTCTCATATTCTCAAGGTCTTTCTTTCCATGATGTTTACAACTTCATAACGAAACCAAAACTCTCCAAACTAGCTAATCGATAAAGAGATAGGTAGGACAAATCAATGTATCAACAACAATTTCGGTTTTGTACTTTCTGATGTTGACGTTTCGTTCCAAAATAAACTTGAAGCTTCTTTACTCACACTGATCAGAATAGATTATTTTTATACTAACGGATTACTTTTATGACAATTAGTGTCTATTGAGGGCTACATAAATAACCCGGCAATTTTTTGCATAAATTTAAACGTTTCTATGCCCACAGTATCAAAAAACTAAAAATTCTCCACAAAGAGAGCGTTATCTCTCCGTTGACATTGCGAGCTATGTTTCCCTAATAGAATAGTAGAATACATAGGAAACTCTCAAGTCCGACTTTCTATTAACCTCGGCATTGATTGAATAATTCTTTCTACTTCTGTTTAGCAAACACGAGGTGCTATTTTATTCCTTTATTTACGCACAAGCTGACGTTTCGGCGGATTTTGCCTTCCTCAGAGTCTGGAAAGGTCAAGTTTACAGCAATCTATTCGGCCAAACACCTCCATAACCAAACGGAGAAAACGCTAAACCAAGATTTCAATCACATTTAACATAGCCCTGCACACTCACCGCTTTCTATGAGTCTTCCACTGAGTACGTCACGTGAAGACCGACTGCACAGAATTCACATGGAAGCGTAATGCGCCCCTTCCATCAGAATAAATTCTGAATTTCTGAACGTGCAAATTAGCCTATCAGAAAACGGCTACATTGCGAAGTGGTATCGAAAGTCAAGTAGTAAAAACATCCTGGTTCATTACCTCTCCTCTCACCCCTCTCACACGAAAAGGGCGCTTGTGAGAAACATGTATCGAACAGCTACCAGTGTGTGCACGGGAAGACAGCAGAGAGAGGAGTCCCTGAACTTGGCGCGACAAATAGCCATTTCTAATGGCTACGAAAGTAGCTCGAGATAGATGTAGAGGAAACCACAGGTACCCCAACGATAACTCTAGCGACAACAAGGTCCCGTTTATACTGCCCTTCATTTAAAATAAAGTAAGTGCAGCTATAAAACGCTGTTCAAGAAGGGCCGGTCTAGAGAATTCCGTAACGATAATTGAAATGCCACCGAGTAATCTAAGGCGCCAGCTAGTTCGTAACCGCCTATACGACCGTCTATGTGCAACGCAAAATTGCATAATTTGCCGCAATGGTAAAGACGGTAAAGACGGTGACTGCATGAGTTCGGGTACAGTCTATCTGATCTCTTGTAAAGCGTGCGGGGACGAATNAACCAAACGGAGAAAACGCTAAACCAAGATTTCAATCACATTTAACATAGCCCTGCACACTCACCGCTTTCTATGAGTCTTCCACTGAGTACGTCACGTGAAGACCGACTGCACAGAATTCACATGGAAGCGTAATGCGCCCCTTCCATCAGAATAAATTCTGAATTTCTGAACGTGCAAATTAGCCTATCAGAAAACGGCTACATTGCGAAGTGGTATCGAAAGTCAAGTAGTAAAAACATCCTGGTTCATTACCTCTCCTCTCACCCCTCTCACACGAAAAGGGCGCTTGTGAGAAACATGTATCGAACAGCTACCAGTGTGTGCACGGGAAGACAGCAGAGAGAGGAGTCCCTGAACTTGGCGCGACAAATAGCCATTTCTAATGGCTACGAAAGTAGCTCGAGATAGATGTAGAGGAAACCACAGGTACCCCAACGATAACTCTAGCGACAACAAGGTCCCGTTTATACTGCCCTTCATTTAAAATAAAGTAAGTGCAGCTATAAAACGCTGTTCAAGAAGGGCCGGTCTAGAGAATTCCGTAACGATAATTGAAATGCCACCGAGTAATCTAAGGCGCCAGCTAGTTCGTAACCGCCTATACGACCGTCTATGTGCAACGCAAAATTGCATAATTTGCCGCAATGGTAAAGACGGTAAAGACGGTGACTGCATGAGTTCGGGTACAGTCTATCTGATCTCTTGTAAAGCGTGCGGGGACGAATACGTTGGCGAAACGGGTAGACCACTCTGCGTACGTATAAAAGAACACCTAGTCGGCAAACGTAAACCAAATACTCCATTAGGCACGCATAGGACGCAGAGACTTAACGGAGAAGATTTTGAAGTAACGGTTACGATCCTCGCGCAAGAATCGAGAACACAAGCGCGCAAAACTCTCGATTAAATCTGGATTAATTCCAAGAATCCGAAAATGAACCGCAGGGAAGATTGCCTCATTATCACGCGTGATATTGGGTATCATATAAGCCTCTTATTCTGATGGGAGGGGCACATTACGCTTCCATGTGAATTCTGTGCGGTTGGTCTTCACGCGATAAATAGGAAACATTTAGCAGTGGTTAGAAGTGTCCTGAAATACACACGTGGTTGTTGGGTTGATCCTGTGCGTCGGACTAACTAAGTCTTCCATCCCTCCAATGTTAGACCGCATATGCATTCAGTCATCTCTACGATTCGTAATGAAGTTGAATGGAAGACGCATAGTTGACAAATGATCGCCTCCGAATGCTTTATTCCTTGCGCTTTATAACAAAATTAATAAAATTTTGTACCACACATAATATCCCGCCGTGAAAAAATATAATAGGCAGTGAATAGGAAGTTAAAAAGAATAAATAGATACAACCACAATGATGTTTAGATATTTGCAAAACTCCGGACCGCGTTGGGAATGGAAGCGCTATTAGCCTTTCCAGGGACTAACGCATTCACCACCATACCATGCGGCTCCTTCGTTTTGCCTGTCTCTTAGCTGGTTCTATTGATCAGACCATCAACAATCGCAAGTCAACGGGATTGATTTGGGCGGCCCAAGTCGGCAATGAACATACACAGCGATGCTGAGATATTTGAATTATTGAGAACTACTTAAATTATTTGAGAACTAGCTGAGAGACAGGCGAAACGAAGAACCCGCATGGTGTGGTGGTGAACGCCTTAGCCCCTGGGAAGAGTAATAACGCGTTCGTTCCCCACCGCTAACACCTGCGGTCCAGAGTTTTGCAAATATCTCAGCATTATTGTGGTTTTATCACACATAATATCCTGCCGTATAAGACTGTAATAGGCAGTAAATTAAAAAGTTAACAGAATAAATAGGTTTGGATATTGTTTAAAAGGCGGCGTTGTCATAATAAATCCGTTTTGGTTAATAAAGTCCGTCATAAGAGAGAAATTCCTGGAATTGAAGCTTGCAAAATTTGGATTATTTTCCGAAAAACTTTTGAAAATCTACTCGGAATGGATTTGATCGGCACAACATGGAATGCCATCCAACTCCTTTTGGCGGAACGACTTCATGCCATTGCATCGCACCACCGAAAATGACCAAATGAGCCTCATAAACTCAACACAGTTCCTTTTAAAAGATTTTTAAAGGTAAAAATTATACACAAAAGAAGTTAAAATCATTTCTAACATCAGAATAGGCGAATAGAAAACAAGGACAAAGTTCCTAACGTTGACCAATCCATTAGGGATGCGCCATGTATCTTCATTATGCATCGATGGAGGCGATTGAGAGCATATCTGGCGTATACAATTGATTGCCGTGGGCTGCCGATGTATCGGGTCGGGAGTGGGAGCGAAAGACATACGCGACACGCGTGCAAAGTATAGATCAAAAGAAATTAAATTCCAAGGGTTTTCCTTTACTCCTGTAAGCTTGAATGAATTCTGCCTACCTCTCCTTGCATCCACTTTCTTCTGCCACTTGAGCAGCCGTGGCGGGGGATTCATCGCTTCCAACTTTATCGAGAGCTTTGAAGAGATTCAGACGATAACCTAGTGCGATGGAAGCAGACAGCAGTCCATTAATGCCAATTTCCTAAAACAACACATTCGATCCATTCTTGTTTGTGGTTCCAATCCATATCTATGGACCAAACAACTGAACGAGATGCCATTCACTTCATCAAACACTACAAAATAGCACAAATACTAGAACACTTCATTCATTTTGTATCAGCTTTCAGGTTACAAACGACAAGTTTCAATGATGCCAAGCCCAGATACATAACAATAACAAAATAAATCGGGCGTTGAAGTAGAAGTTTTGAGCACGGTAGGTTGTACTCTTTGGTCTGAACTGAGTAACCTCTAAATTATGACTTTTCCAAAAGAAGTGACGCGAACGTAAACTTTCCAGTATCGAAGCGATTATTGAAATATTGGAGTTCAGTTATGGCGTCGAAAACAAAATCGCAGCTGCCCAAAGAGATCCGCATTCGTTATCACAACAAACTAGGAACAAGCATCACTAGTGACGTCAAGGTGGTCGTCTACATTAAAGAAAAGAATTTTTCAGTTGCTATGAAACCCACTCAGTACAGCTGCGAGTTTTATAGGAATCTTTGTGTGTTTGTTTTCATGGGAACTCGCTGTTATGAAGGCGGAGGTGTATTTGCAGTCACTTTTGGAAACTCAAAGACAAAATTTTAACGGGTGTGGGAATAATTTGAGTAAGGAGATTGGGAAACAGAAATGGAAGAAATGTGGTGTCCATACAGGCAGTGCGCCTAGTACTGATTGGCACCTTACTATTCCATTTAATCACAGATAAAACTTTTGAAAAGCAGTAAGAATCACCCTGTAATGCAATTCTCAATACCGATTTTGTAATGACCACTAAGTTCTTTCGCGATAAATAAGCCGACCATTCAACCCTGGCTAACGTTTGACGGTTGTCGCTCTTCTCCTTTCGGAGATCGAAAAGGTCATGCTCACTTGCATGTCTTTCCGACCAAACATTTCTGCTGCAACCTTTGGACTTCCAAAAACCAAGTCGAATTGGAAATTAAGTGCATATTGTCACGAATGCGTTGGGTCTGTCATCAGGATGTCTAGAATCGCTCCGCTTACATCAAATGATATAAACATCGAATGAAATTTGCTCCAGAAAAGAGAAAATCATATTTTCAACCTTCCCTCATCATTAAGACAGATACACACCGATGTGTCTGCTATCGCAAAGAGTGCTCGGGGTGAGGTCGAGAGGAAAACGTCGTGTGGGTTTTCCTGGCGAGCTCGTATTGAAAATGATTTCACTCCGCAGGAGTCCCATTGTCGAACTGCACCTTTGTCGGATGACTACGTTGAGTCATTTGGTAACCAGTCGTGTGCGCAAAACTATCTCGCTTTCAAGAGGCGACCAACATCGATTGAATAGCGATTATCGTTGTTGATCGGCTTTCACTTACCATGAGACGTTTCTGGAACTCAGTTTTCTCTGCCATCGTTGTCGTGTTGCTAAAATGAACAAAATTAACAATAAAACCTTCATTAGCGAATGTGACGGATTGCAATGAACAGAAGAGAGGTGAGTGATTGTGTTGGAAAGCAACAAAGAGGTCCAAGGTGGGACGGACGTGAAGTTCTGAAGGTCTGCTGTTATCCAATTTCAATTACACCTTTTCTATGCTAAATTTCATTGCACATTATAGGGAAGATAAATTTCGGCCTACATGTCTTTAAAAAATCTTCGACTATGAACAATAAAGGCGTTTGCTATTTATTGTTGGGGACAATGGGGATGAAAAAACCAATCGAAAAAAACAGAGGTCAGCCACTGCAGTTTGTTTGATCAGCCAGTTCATTTTTTAAACTGCACGAGATGGAGTTCCTGCAAAACTACAAAAGACACTGAAAAACGGTATGATCCTTGTACATACCCAGGTATGAGAGGAGCGGGTGGCGCAGTGGTCGGAGGCGCCGTGCAACACACGTCTGGAATCGATCGCTGGGCCCATGGCCCACCATGCCTTCCATCCCTCCGAGGTCGGCAGTCGGCAAATTAGTGGTAGGCTTGTCTGGGAGGATAGCAGCACTGGCTCGATACATCAGTAGGCCACATCAATAGTCATTGTAAAGGCCAGATATGCATTCAATCACCTCCAAACGATGTTTAATGAAGTCGAATGCATGGCGCATCCCTCAGGGATTGATCAACGCAGAGAGCTTCATCCTTTAACCTTTATCTAGCTATGATGATGCCTCTATTCGAATTTGAACTACCCCAAATGTCATAAAAACAGGGAAAACGGATTAAGGGCAGGCGATACAAAGATTAATATGCATAAAGTGGATGTAGAAAGAGAGAGGTCATAACGCAGAATTAGTAATATTTCTAAATCGACTTTGGCCTAACCTCAGCCTATGAATTCAATACCTCGATGTATATAAAAGCTTGCAGAAGGTTGGTATAAATCTTTACTACGGCTACGCCTTCGTCCCATCTAGTCTTCGTCGCAATCGCAATGATTTGAGATGAGTGTCCAAAGGAGTTGTTCTTTTCTGTGTCGGTCTTCATAATCCCATCGAGGAAAACTGAGTGAGTGCAACATAGCACAAATTAAAAACCTCACTCAGCACTGCTCAAGACAGTTTTTGAAGCCAATTTGAAGTGATATCACTTTCTGACAAAACAATATCACGGGATGCAAAACTGTTTTTTTGTCTATTGTCATGCAAAGTTATTGATTTTCGTGGAGGCAATCCGTCCCGTGGAATCGAAATAATGTTATCTGCCATTTTCCAAAGTAACATTTTTAATATCGACCTCTCCGAACCTCGCCATAGTTCCTTATTCCACTACGCAGTGCTCAACTTCACTGGACTGGACTTGATTCGACTAGGAAGACTCGCATCTCTCGCGACTAGAACAAGAAACAGCTGCAGCGGAAGCTCGAATCATCGCTGCTCCGACGAAGACGATGCCGCCGAAACGTGATCCGCAATAAAGTTTGTGGCAACTTCGTTTAATCTTATCAGTGAACCAGAACCCAGCAGAATGAGCTACGAGAGAAACTAATCAGCAATAAAAATTGAAGCAAGGCGGATCAGAGGAAGAGGACATGGTCGGATTAATGGTAAAATGGAATACTGGCCAACATTTGCTAGGCTCAATCATAGTGGAGAATTCCTTGACGGTCACCAGTGATCGCTTGTGTCAATGGCATCTGATCAACGACAAGATATTCAGCCAGTGCTATGACGCACAACCACACAGACAGACAGAAAGACCTAGTGACCGTTGTTGCTGCTGCAGTAATGTTATCAGTGAACGCAAACAAGACTAGAACACAACCAACACACTGCACCTAAAACCAGTACTCTATGAAACTCTAGTGGTTACACGTGTCAGTGAGCACTTTTTAAAGCAAAAAGTGTTAACGGTTCGTTAAATGCTTGCAGAGGATGGATAGTCTTGCGCCGGACACAAAACCTTTTAAACCTTAATCTCTTAAACCATTGGAAAATCGTTATGAATAGCACGTCTCCAAATACGGATGGAAATTGCTCCTTTTCACCGTATTTTTTGTAGTAATTAATGCCCTCACTTCTGACAGAAGTTTTTTTCTGCAGTTTGCTGATAACAATGTAGAGTGAGCAACTGGAATGGTGCAATGTTGTTAAGGCATTCATAAACCAAAAAAGAAAAATCAACCTTGAGATCTTCATCGCCGAAGTTGAAAAAATCAGACAAAGCAAGACTTAGAGAGATAAAAGCAGATCTCACGGAGCTGGAGGAGAAATAAATAAATAAGACAGAGCTACCAACACCAGAATGCGCTGTCCTCTACTGCGCCAGAAAACAGGCCGCATTTCGATGGGATGGGCGGAGCAACATCGCATGAATATGCGGTTCGGCTACCAATAAATCAAAAACGATGATTTGCAGCCACAAATGGAAAAAAATGGCGGAGGACCATGACGGCTTTGAGTGGCAATCTATGCGCTTTATCAGCCCAAAGTCCAAAAAGATCCAACTGGGATAAATCCCACATAATTGTACGGATGAGCAGTAAGGAAAGCACACGAGGTTTTGAACGAAGTTTTTGTACGATCCAAGAAACTTCATGTGAGGGCGTGAACCATCACTTCGGACAGTGATTCTACTAAATGTCGCATAAGTTAGGCCTCATGCTTTATAAAAGTAGCCAGTTATCATCGAATGTCGGAAGGTTTTGCTAGCAACGATGGCTTTTGGTGAGCGAAGTACTTCTCATTGTATCATGGTAGATTCCATAAGAACAGTAACTATTATATATAAACACAGCGGTATTTCGTTCAGTCGGAGAAAAGATGTCTGACAATCGAAAGCGTTTACTGTCGATTGCACGTGTTCTACAACTAGTGCATCTCCAATCAAGGCAGATAGCCGTTTCTTTCGTTTTAATTTCAAATGACTCATCATCACATCTACTTGTTGGATCCCAGCTCTTCTTGCACCGGCTTCGTTTCTTGCATTCGTCACTCACAAACGTTTTCGGCATTTTGCGTGATCCTTCGGCTGCCGCAGAGGTTTTCCTCTTCTTTATTAATGTCATAGAATGCTGGTCAAGTCAATTCCTGTTCCAAACTTGGAGATAGGCGAGCTATGGTGTTCCCACATCTATTGGGATAGAGCGTTAGAGAGGAGTCGAACCAGCACCTTGCTCCTTGTTGGGCTCCATCGCTATTTTCCGAGCTGCCCGATGTTCACTGGCAACGTTACCCGCTATGAAGATATAGACGTTGACATGTGACTACTACTGTAATCGAACGAGAATCCATCAATCCATGAGGCACTTTATTATGTCGCATTATTAGAAATTTTTCATAGAAGACCTTGAATGAGGTAACATTTTTGACTGATACGTTCCTCAATTGATTTCTTATTTAATTTGTGGTAAGGCTATGGAGATAAAAAGCATACGAGTTATAAAGCGCTTGCGGCCATAGACGGTTTATTTTGTCGGAAAACATCCATCTATCGTGTATATGTTCGCCACAGACGACGTTTGCACCGTCTTGGAGTCCTGTCCACAAGTCCTTTGGTCCATCTGTCGTCCGTTTTTGTTGTCACTTTATCAGTCCACCAATGCTCCGCATTTAATGTGTATTCTCATGTATATTGAAGGGCGCGTGTGGAGCAGTGATTGGAGACGCCCTGCAACACACACGTGGAATCGATCCCCGCGCTCATGGCCCACCAAGCCTTCCATCCCTCTGGGGTTGGTAAATTGGTACCAGGCTTATCTGGAAAGATAGCAGCATTGGCTCGATACATCGGTGCGGTACCATGCGTAAAGGCCAGATATGCATTCAATCACCTTCAACGATGCTTAACGAAGAATGCATGACGCATCCTTCAGGGATTGATCAGCGTTGAGAGCTTTATCCTTATTTATTAAAGATGGAAAAGCCTTCGAATTTCTACATAGCATAAACCTGGACCGATTGTATTTCAGTGTTCAAGCACAGGATTTACTGCGCCAAATTCTTTGCGTTGCTAAAGTGCCTACGAAGAGATGAGCTACGAACCTTTTACCAAGGTCTTTGCAGTACTCAGCACAATCCTTCTTTCATGTGGTTCTCCATATTTATATAACGACTCAGGTACACAGAGGATGTCGTCACTGTAATGAAAAGTTTCTCCACCTTGATTTGGCTACTGTTGCGCCACGGGCTTTTCATCATTCGGCTTTCTTCTGATTCGTGCATAGTCCGTTCCTTTTTTACGCTTCTTCGAACTCTTTGAAAACATTTCACACTTTGATGCCTCAACAAGAAAATATACCGTCAATAGAGGAAAGACTCTATTCCTGAAACCTTTTTCCAAGGCACTGGAATGTAATACGATCAGAAATTGATTGTGGATTTATGCGCTCGCACTAGTGATTGAACGGTTTATCCCAACAATAGGAGGTATGGCAGAAATTCTACTCTTTTTGCTCCGTTGAAAATATATC